AAAGGCATGACATTTTGTATCTGAATTCATCTCAGTCACTAGACGATTGCCATTCAATAGGGTTTCCTACTGATTTCCCAATCTATAAAATTGAAAATCTATAAATTTTCGTGCATCGGAAATAGAGGCTCTGCAATAGGGTAGATCCCTAAATTTTTATTTTAATGGCCATCTGGTAGATTATTTTAAATCATTAAACATGTATTTTTTATTTTCTTACAGAAACGAATACTTTCGACGATATATTGATTTGAAATGTCGCGTGACGTCACTTCTATGTACATTTTATACGTAGAAATGACGTTTTAGCCCCCACTCCTAAACTTTGATTCGTTTTATTTTTATCTAAGTATTGTTTTAATATACGAAAAAATAAAAAAAATACGTGTCTAATATTTTTTTCACGGACGGACACGGACTAATTATATTTTTCATTTTCATACCCTGTCATCATCCCAGTTCTCAGTAGCATCATGAACTTCGGCCTTACCTTGGGTCTTGCCCCTACTCTTGGTACCACTGACTTAACTCATTACATATGAACATGTTATTTGCATAGCCCTTTGGAGTACGAGGTACATATTCGTGCGTGTTTCTCGTGCGTGATGTTTTCGTTACATACATAATTTAATTCTCCATCAAGGCTAATTTTGTTTTAATTAATACTAATGTCGATTCAGAGACTACAAAATTGCACAATTCGCCGTTCAAATAAGCAATAATCATGTTACGTCATCTTTTTTAGGACTATATTGGTCATACAGTGTAAGTTAGGAAGCAAATGTCTGTTAGGGCTTTTAATTCTATTTAAGTCTTTATTCGCGAAAGAAATGCGCAGAAATTATAAATCCGGCCATGGTAAATAAACTTAAAACTATGACTATGAAACTGTACCTATAGAATAAAATTACATTATAAATCGACAGATAGCTGACTTAAGTAGTTCATCTTCACCTCAGTTGTAGGTATTATCCAAAATAGTTAATAAGCCTTTCAGATCAATACAAACCAAACAAAACGCGCCTAAATGATTAGGAACAGTTGCAAATTCGTCCCTGACCTTGTTACGGTATAAACTCCATACGGTTTAGAACAGGGATGGTGAACCTTGACGTTGTCAACGTGATATTACCAACTTTTTAAATATTTGTTATGTATTGAATGATATGTGGTGAATCGTCAGAGTAGAATACATGTCACCACCTCTATTCTCCCTGCGGCTGTTGTTACAGACTATATTTTTTTAGTTCTTTAATGCACACAAAAATAAGGTACATAAGGCGGACTTAAGCCATATGGCATTTTCTCCCTGCTGGGGTTCATACATTGTGCATTCATACATTTAACTCGTTGAGTACCGTCATTATAGACACAATTAAAGAACAATAGGTTGCGGTCACCGGTGTCCTCGCGGTGTTTGACAGTTTAATAACAGAGACCGGGTTACAGCGCTCTAATAAACCTAATCTTTTTACACTGCAATCGCCAACTTACGACAAACTGTTCTTTTGTAGAAGAACGTTCCGTTCCGTTCAAGTGTAGGAGAGCCATGCTCCATGCGCCCATGGACACCTGGAACACCTAAAATCTTACAGTCTGGAGCTGACCAGTCCCAATTGACGGCACCCGTTCACGAACATGACACGTACCCCAGCACTGCCCAACTCAACCATTCTGTAGGGAATTTTGTATAGGTAACTATTTTGGAATATTGCCCAATTTTCCGAAATAGTTGCGTGCCATCGGTTCACCATCTCTGGTTTAGAGTAATCTCATCGATTTTATCAAGCATCGCGGACAAGTTACGGTCTCTGCCCTTGACTGTCGCAGCTCGCAAGCTTTTTTCCACGGCCGACGACGATTTCCGCATCGTTTTTGCAATCGATACCTGAATGGCCTTTCTTTGCGTATATCGGTTAAACTTTGCTTCCGATTGATGCTTTATTGACATAGTAATGTATTGTGATAGAATACTTTTTATGATAGGGTAGGCAGAGGTACACATTACGGCACTTAATGCAACTGTACAATATAACAGCCACTTTTCACTGTTTATGTTATAAGTGCCATGTAATGGGGGGGGGGACCCTATTTCCATATACCAGGCAGATTTCCGTGCTACTACTGAGAATTTTTTTAAACCTAATAATACTTAGCCCGACCCGGGAATCGAACCCTTGCCTGGCAGTAGCACTTGCGACCAATCGGCCAATGAGGCAGTCATACGATACTGTTTATCCCGATTAAATGCTCCTATGGGATAAAACAGAAATACGCGGGCAAACCCGCTAGTAAAAGCTAGTCAATAATAAAGATATACATTCGCTAAGGATACTTAGGTCCCCTAATCTTATAAATTAGATACTACCTATCTGCAAACAAATAAAATTTCTTCAGATATTTCCATGTAATTTATTATCTATCAATGAATCAATTCACTACACAATTTATATAAACAACAATATTAATTTTATAATATCTTTTTTCCAGTGATAGTGCGTGCACTCCCCGAGACACCAGCCGTGGACCTCGACAGCGTGCTCTTCTTGGAAAAGGGCGCCAAAGCATTGGGGCGGGTCTTCGATGTTTTTGGACCCGTAAGTTAATAATTACTCACCACAGATGGAGTCCAACAGGGCTGATGCCGATACGGAGCCGCGGAAGACTTAACGGCTTGCCGGGGCTCCGGCTCGAGGTGCAGGGGTAGAAACGGGGTGGTTTTTAGTCAGTAAGAGTCTGACACTCCCTCTCGCCTCACCCGGGCGGGAGAAGCCATTGGATGATTTTCCCCATTAAAAAAATGTTAATAATTACTGCAAATGAATACTGCATTGATCTTATTCAATCATACAATTTTTAAAGTTTCATTGATTACTTTTAGCTTCAATCGGCCTCGATATTAGAAGAGTATTATACTAAATTGTATTTACATTTTCAAACAAAAACAATCTACTTTGTGGCTTCTCTAAAATAATTTTTCAGTCTCGACTATATTCCTAAACACTTTTTCTGGCTTAATTTCAAAGTTAGCGTGACACAAATGGGCATTACTGTAACCCCGCGGGGTCAAAAAACTGATTAGGAATACAGCCAATTTGCTGGTCTTTTAAAATCCACTCCGAAGTACGGTTATAAAATGTGGTTGGCAGACATCCAGCAGTATATTGACAATTTCTCCCTAGTTTATGCGATAATTTTATTACCAGCACAAACATAAAAATAGCCAAATAAATTCCAAATGGAATATTCCCATAATATGAATAATTTGTATGGACTTGTAAATATTTGTTTATAGTATGACTTTATACAGTATTGTCCTTGAAATAGTTGGAAAAAAACTAATATTTATTTATGAAAGACTATTATTATTTATATTTTATGGCCGTTTACTTAGTACTTAGCCTTTTGTGTTGGTGTTTTAAATAAATGATGGTCTAGTCTAGACTAAAATAAAGCATTAATTATGATAGAAGACATAGCTCCCTATTTTTTTTTTTTTTTTTTTGTAATCAATCCTTTTCCTACGTGTAAAGTTCTCGTCCTTTTTGATTTAAAATTTGTGTCCTTTATGAGAAAGGTTTACATAAAAAGAAATAGCTCACACCTACTTGACAATACTCATATAATTATTTTTTCGTTAGGTAACAGAGCCCCACTACTGCGTGCGGTTCAACTCAGTGGAGCACGTGCGGGAGCGGGGCGCGCAGCCCGGCGCCGACGTCTACATCGCGCCGCAGAGCCAACACACCAACTACGTCTTCCTCACTGAGCTCATGAAGTTAGTATTGCCATTCATTCGTATTTTGATTGTTTTTTGCATATGCCCTTTTCATGGGTAACGTTTCTTCACCTGAGATAGAACTATAGAAATAATGTAATGTGTTTTATTTTTTAATTCTAGAATAAAAGGCTCCGACGCATCGTGGCTGCACGACGTGGAGCCTCCCCCTCATCAGGTTGAATACTCCGATGACGAAGAGGAGCGGCGAGCTAACAGAGCCAGAAAGGAGCAACGCAGAGAGAGGACAGACGAGTCAGAGGACGGAGAGACCTCCAAGAACACGAGGAAATTCGCGGAAAGACGCAACCAAAGACCTTCAGAGTCCAGCAGCCGCTTTGGCAGCGGACCTAGCCGGGGCAGGAACCCATTCGCAGCTGGATCTAGGAGAAATAATAATCCCAACGCTTTCCCGCGCAAGCTATGGCCCGGCAGCCTGGGCCTCAGGACGCCGCAGCCACACCCTCCCGGTGACCCCCGCGCACACGGTCCCTTCACCGCACCCCCCTTCGCAGGCCCGCCTATGTTCCTGCCTCCCCCCTTCAACCCCACGACCCCCCCGCCCCCGTTCATGGGCAACATGTTCCAGTTCGGCGCGGGTCGCATGCCAGGCAGTCCCCTGCCCATCCCCGTGAGCATGGTCGCTCCGTTCCGCCACAACCTGCCCGTGTTTGGCTCCAACTACTGCACTGTCTCGGGGCCGCAGCCCCAGTGGGTGAACAATGGCCCCCCTCCCCCACCCGGAACCTAATGCGCAACAATTATTTTATAAGGTCTATCTCATAATAATTAGTCGATAGTTAGTGCAGTAACATGTCTAACAATACTAAAGTGTGGTTATCCAAAAATAAATTTATATTTATATGGAATAAACAATGATTATTCAGTAAATTGTGTCGATTTCTTCAATAGCAATGTCCTTGCTATATCATTTCCAAGTGTAACTCGCTTATTACCCAAGTGTTGTTCTAACCATACAGCTCATGTGCATATACTCATATCGTCACGCTCATTTCCCATTGGCGTAAGTAGGAAATACCGCCAACCGCCCTCGATCCTAAATTAATATACCCTTTCCGCTTCAGCAACATTCCTGCATCTATTCATTAGTGATACCATTTTGTATTTTATACGCATTCATGTAATAACAATAAATGTATTGTAGTTTCATAATATTTATACCACTATAATTAGGTATGTAGATCAAAATCAAAGCCAAATGTAATTTTGTGATTTCTTTATTAAATATTTCATGTTAGAAATTAACTAACGATCGAATTTCATAATGTTAAAATAAAAAAAGTTTTTAATAATAAAGATTACATCTAAAAAATACTGCTCTCGGACTATGCAAACATAAACGTATACATCTGCTGCCCTTACTGACGAATTGTCAAAGTAAACTGGTTACAATATAATAATTTTGCACTCAAATGATCACAACGTAAAATGACGAACATTTCACAGAATACAGGAATATAAAACGTTCATTAAAACTAAACATAACATACTACTTGTCTAAAAACTATCCGGTCGTAAAATGTTACAAGAATTCACGACAAAATTGGATACATGGTTTTATTCTAGAAGAACTACACATAGCAATATATGCGTTATTTTTTATTATTATTCTTAGGCCGGTATTATAGATTGATACTCAAGCAGAGATCTCTGCTGAAGCGCAGTTGGAGACGGATATTCGTATGTTAAATGTATTCGTATCTCTTTTTATTAACTGTATTTACTCGAGTAGTTATTTCCAGTAGAGTCTTCTATAATACCGTAATGTTAAAATGTCGCTCTGATTTCTGATAAACAGTTATATTACGTTTCAGTATTAGTAGAAGAACGATGTAAATTTTATAACTTTATTCTTTGCTCTATGAATATTTACTATTGTCACATGAATATGTGTACAACAGAATGAGTAGCAGAGAAATCCAAGTTGATGACGACACAGGACTATTACACAGCACAGTTAATATAACTAAGATCTAGAAACTTACTTTCAAATAGCTGCTTCATAATTGCACTTCTAATTGAACACATGAGTGAGTTTGGTGGTAGAGTTTAGGGAATAAAATGCATCGATATTCTTGAAATGCATTGCTTTAGATCTATTTTAAAGTGTAAGGAATGTCCGCAACAGTGCTATGTGTAGTCTAAATTAAATTAAACTGGTTATAATATTACAATTTTATGGAGTGGGTTTAAAAATAGTAAAATAATCTCATGCTGCATTGAGAACAGCATTGTCGTAAACAAGTAAAAATGAATGCTAACATGAGGTTTAATCGTACATCACCTTGATGGTCGCTAAAATATTTATTCAGCTTTAAAAGTGACGTCAATTAAACTTCCATGTTAAACATCCCACTTTTAAACAAATGATTTGCATTTCTGTGTACAATAACTAATATTTTAGACAGCATATACTCATAAAACAATACAATTTTCTCAAATATTCGTATAAAACAATAATTTTGCAACATTTCGCACCAATACAAAATAAATATAAATGCAATGATTGACCTTGATTCCGACGTACGATTTTAACCGTCATTACCACTTACCGAACCAATCAGTATCTACATATACGACATAAAACCTCTCTTTTCTTTCTTAGTTTGAACTCCAGACTCATGAAGCACACTCCGTACGAAGAGCTATTATTGAATACTAGATGAAATTTAGTTGCTCTGAGATTAACAATACAATGAAAAAGGTCAATTTATGACCTTTGAATCCTTATTTAACTTGACAATTCTAATAATATTTATCGAAGTGGAAGCTACATTTAAGATTACAAATCGTATTCGAAATATGATTACACCCGTACCTAATTACCACACATATCAATCTTCTAATTATTGCTTTTCTATTCTAACGTACCTGATGCAGATATATGTAGATAATGACTGTCAAACGTTGCGGGAACATAAACTTAACGAGAAAGGAGCCAATAGGCACTTGTAAAACACAACTAGACACGGCTTACTACACTATTACATGTGACATACAGGAGTAACTGATTACTGTACCAACTTATCTTAGTTTCGTTATAAAAATACAGATTCCTATATTAAAATAATTCTCAATAAGCTTAGCTTGCCGTCTGAGACTCATGATTACATGCCTCTTCGGGGCTCATTTATGTCAAAATGTTCACAATAATAATTAATTTGACTCGACTCGTTGCTGCGATATTTCGCTCTGCGATTTGAGTCAACGATCGCATATATAGCGACGCGTTAAGCGTAAGTACGTGCATGTATATTTGAATAGTTCACACCATGCGTTTAGTCGCACGCGAATTGTCGCAGCAACGAGCACGACCCATGAACGATACACATCAACAGAAAACGAATCCGAGCAGTCTTCCATTAAATACGTAAAAATATATCGCAATTGATACTTAAACAAATCGACGACTATCACTAATAGTGAATACTACAAAAGATATACTCAAAGTTTGATCATAATATAAACTTAATGCTAATCGATTAAAGAAATATTACGTCTCAGCTACTTGATTAATTCAAGGGTTATAGTTTTGTATCGATTACAAGTTAGGAACTATATCTACTACTGTACAGATTATAAAGAAAATAATGATTATGATTTCCGTAATATAGTGAGTTTAATACTTTCATTACACCGACGTTATACATGTATGCAGACCTCTACATAGTCTCTATCGAACATAACAAGGAACTAAATGTGTTTGTTCGAAAAATATGACATCAGTCGACACGGCTGTCACACAGGCCGGCCGCCGACATTCCGCTGTCTTTACATATGTGGGTATATATTGCGCACTAACATTACACATACAACTAAGATACGTTATATCTATTGCTTTTACAGGCAAAACTATTAAAGAAATATATTGTTAATATGTCAATACAATATGTTTCTGCTAAAAATATGTAGATTATTCGTATCACTTGTTCGTGTGGTGTTGTCGAGTTAATATTTAGAATATTAAGTTTTATATTCATCTAAGACACTACGTTCTACATTCTAATATTCACAGAGATTGATACAGTTAAGAATATGGAAAAGGCGAAACAGCATGTGCCCTGCTACACAACGTCTAACTAGGAAATTATAAGAGAAAATAACACAAACAGACGTCCACACCGGCACTGCTCAAAAATATTTCATCACCACGTAATGGAAGTCAGTCTCTCGCTACAATAAAACAAATCAGATCATTCGAGAGATTTCGCGTGTAAAAACAAATAGAAATACTTTTGAGAAGTGATCAATTAAATAAAGTCGGTATGCACACCGCCGCGCGCCGCGACCGACGGCCGGCGGCGGTGTGTCCGCGCCCTAACGATAAACAGTGAAGGCAACGTTAAGTGCACATTATCATAAACATCGCGTACCTAAATAGTGTCACTGTTACAATTATTACTCAGTAAATATGCTGCCTCTATGTAGATATTCGCAAAATACACATCTATACGTAAAATTATGCTCTCAAGTGCACTGCGAGGGTGAAATGCTGTTTACGCGAACATTGAAGTAAATATTCCATATATTAATGTTACTTCATGCCGTGTAAACTTGTATATAAACGCAAAATCTTTGATAAAAGCACCTTTATATGGCAACCTTGAGTGCGACATGCACTATATTGTATAAATATGATATATTTTGTCCATTTATAAAATCCTGTGTATCCCCAAGCTACCATTGTACATTTGTTGCCATTTGAATGTATTTGAGTCCCCCACAGTGCACTTCAAAACACTATTGTGACAATTAATATTTGTTCCGACAAGTATACAAGTTGTCTAATTGAGTATCACGATTAAAATTATGTAAAGCTTATGGCATTATGGTACATAGTCGACCAATAAAATAAATATTTCGTCACCACCAATTCTAAATGCATTTTTGACAGTCACTTGATTTTTATATAGTTATATAAATGAGTATCATTGTAGTAGCATTACCTAGGAAGACAATAATAGTATATGAAGACTTTTTTTTCATTTTTTTTTTAATTTTCATGAATATAATATTAGTGACGGTTTTACTATCTATTATTATAAGATTATTCCTTGTTTATTTATAGACATGGTAGGCTATAAGCTAGTGATGAAGCTGACCTACCTGTGATGTGAAACATATTGAAGTTTCTAAGCACCATATTTAAAGGCTGGCCTCACACGTGATTACATAAAACTTACACTAGTATTCTTAAATTTCAGGGTATATTAACGTCCTTTCGATATCGCCAAGATATCAAACGTTAACATAATAATATGTAGCCGTATGTAGCCAGCCTAATCTCCTATAATGGTTTTATATAACACCGAAAAACCGCCGCATATTCTCTGACACAATCAAGTGAATGCTACCACAATAATAATAGTAATGTCTACCCCATATTGTTTAGAAATCTTTCCTACGACACCTCAAAAAAGCTGCAATTTAGAATTTCCAAAAATGCAGATCAAATACACATAACTCACTATGTTAAATAAAATAAAATTAACACAAATGTGTGTCACGTAAAATAGTAAAATAAAATCAGAAATCGCACATGATTCTCCATTAAAATATCGCAACGTATAACTATAGACTTGCATTGACTCTCATGCTGAGATCTCGCAACATAAACATTCCCTCGTAAGTCATTCACATATCCCTCGCTAAATAACAGTCTGCAGCAATAGGCTCACCTGGAGTCCCACGCACCGAAGTATACGGGGTAGACTAACATGCAAATAAAATTTTATGTATTCTCCACCGGTCTGATGGTACAGTCCCCGACGGTGGTGATAGGCGTGATGGTGACGGACGACGGCGTGGACGACGACACGGTGCTGGTCTCCACGATCTGCTCCATCTTCTCCTCCTTCTCCTCGTTATTGGGTGGCAGTTTGACGATCTGGCAGTCTCCTACGGTCATGATTTGCGTTTCCATGGCGACGGAGGGGACTTTTTCGTCGATTTCTGCGCGTGAGTCGTCGTCGTCGGAGGAAGAGTCGGAGACGTCGATGGTTCTGTCGTGCGATTGGTCGGTGTTGAGGCTCTGATCGGTGTCGATATTACGGTCAGGATCCACGCTGGTCACACCGTACGAGCCGTAAGCGAGCGGGTTGTATATCATCTCCGTTAAGTATGAGAAGTCGCCGAAAGGTAGATTCGTAGCATTGTAGTTTTCATTGGGTCGTCCGTCTGGAATGAACGAGGTTTCATTTAAGTAATTTATAATAGTTTGTACTGTATTATTATTAGTCTTTTGTGCATAGTCTTATACATGCAGACCTTCGTAGTTGCAGTGTTTGTGCACTATCCCCGATGATTTGAAGATGTTAGAGAACATGCGCAAGCAACTGAAAGTTTAGTAGACTTGACGATATGTATTATCCTAACTGTTATTACATGCTTTATAGAATCTATTTATGAGTCCAGGAATACATGTTTAAAAAGGAAAATTTGTTAAAATATAGGCAAATTATAATTCGCCATCCTGGCCACATTTTTGTTATTTATTTGTTATATAAGTTAGTTAGTATTAGGTAAATACGTTTTCTCATTAGCTTTGTTAGTATAATTGAGTTATGTAGGCAGGCTGAGCTCGCAGCTTTATTATTATTTATTAAATCATCATTTTGGTGAGGGTTTTACATATTCAAAATTCAATAATTCATACATTAGAATTTTTGAACGATATTTTTCAGAACAGTACCTAAATATATGAAAATATATCCTTATTTATTTTTAAAAGTAGGTATAGACAAGCTATATTTCGTGCTTAAACAACGCGACTTTTCCCGAAGAGAGATAGAAATATCGTAAATACAGACTTATTGCTAATTATGCTTTTAACAGTTAAAAACAGCCAATCAAGCAATAAGTGCGACACCCTTACCAAATACCGAACACACTTATGTATCTATTATCTATCAACATAGATTATAATAATTTGAATTTTGTAACTTTTTCGTTTATGTAAAACCCAAGCCAATATCCGATTTCAATGTCGATTTTACTCAAATACCGATTAGTACCGACAATCGTGTCCCAATTTTGTTTAATTCATGCCTCAATATGATGTGATACTAACAAATCTTGTTGATCGCGAGTCCGTACTGCATCGGTATATCCATATCCACCATACCTATGGACAGATTGCGTTAGGGAGCGAATTTGGACCTTATCTCTTGTGCTTAATATAATTATATAGTTATTTTTAGTTTAATTCTCCTAGCGTGTTTAACCACCTCCATAGAAATACATTATAAAAGTCAAAGCCAAAGCATTTATTTCAAATAAACCATAATTTGGTACTTTTGACACGTCAACAAATACAAAATAAATAATAGTCTGTCAGTCCGTGAAGCTAGGTGAAGCTAGGTGCTCATTCCAAAATGTAGATTCGAATGGAGAAGAACGAGCAAGAAACTCCATTCGTTACTCTTATAACTCTTTATATTTCGTTAAACTTATATGGCAGATACTTCATACAAATTATAATGTAAAACAGTTATCTAGAATTCGTAAAACAGGTCTTTATGAGCCTAACTAAATTATGCTAAGCGTATTTTGAACCTAGTCAAAGGCTACCTCGTTTAAGAGTTAAGCTAGGAATCCGTAAAACAATACACCTATGTATTATAATCAATTTTTAATGTTGTATTAATTTAATTTCGTTATCAATATTGAATCATAAAATACATAATAAAAGAAAGAAAATGCTAATATTTACTATTCTTTTGATGTTTTAAACAATTTAACTTTTACATAGGGAGTTGATATGCATTTTTACAATCATAAAAACCATATATGTATTATGTAGGTGTTGGGTAATACACCAACTGCGCGTTTTTTAATAATAATAGTCATGCAAATAGATCTAAGCAGATGTGATCTTGAAGCCTCAAAAAATGGGATAATATGATAAGCAAGAGAATAGGTCCAACGCAACAAAATATAATAAGCATTATGCATAAAAGGCGTACAAGTGTGGACATACATAGTTTATACATAAAATACTCATACAAACAAGATTTTCAATAACATTTTCACTATAAACGTGACTCCAATATTATAATTTTCTCCTGTGCCGTGGGTGCGTTTAGAAAAACATAAACTCACATACACATCACACCCTGTCCCAGAACAATAATTAGACGTGGTCATATTTAGCTAAATACAATTAATTTCGTAACCCCTGTGATCGCGCGATGATTTGCAAGCTTCAATTAGGATACTCTAAAGAAATGTGTGTTTAATCTCATCCTGCGACGAAATTGCATAGTTCAATCGTATGATGGTAAGCTAAATAGGACGACGCCTTTGTTTATCACAGAAAGAACAGCTAGACTATTCTATAACTGTCTATTCGAACTTTCAAAGTGAGCTCCATCGCATTCTCGTCCGTTATTGGTCGAGATTTTTCTCACAACCAATGACGTGGCGAAACGTTTGAGTTCACTTCGATCTTTCGTATTGAAAGTTTAATTTATTTCTTTAAAAACATTGCCCCACACTAGGATTTTCTCCTGTGTCGTGGGTGCGTTTACAAACATACAAGTTCACATACACATCACGCCCAGACCCGAAACAACAATCTATGGATCACAAAGAGTTGTTCCGTGTGGGAATCGAACCCGCGACACGTTGCACGGCAGCCAATTGCCCAGGCACCGCGCCAACCGTGCAATCGTTAACCTAGCTGTTCCACATTGAGAGAAACCCCGCGACGCTTTGCAACGTAGCCAGTGTCCGACTCACTGCGCCAAACAGCCAGTAAATTATACAATATCAGCAATGATGACTAGACTCCGTCTAACATCATTAAGGAAACGCTGACAAAATTTTCTAAGAACCCAAAAAATCGCAATTCACAAACACTGACTCAATAATTAGTATAATCTAGATATGTCCACACATACACACAAATCGCAATATAACGCAAACACGCACACAATAAACTAAAACACGTGTAGTGAGTAATACAATAACATTTGATGTTATTCACGGCAAAAACATTCCGTTTTGTGACTCAGGTACGAATTGTATCGAGTTTTATTATTATAGTTTATTTAATAAATAATATTGTAATTGTCAAAGAATTAATGTAAGTTAAAGTTAAAGTACGGGCGTATTTTTGAAAATAAATAGTAACTTTCAAGACACAATGCTTATACTAGGAATGTTTTTGCATAAATTGTGATAATAATTTATCAATAAATCACTTTCATTTTAATCTATAAAATAATAGCTGATTTGAAATCACAAGGTAAAGCCCACTTGAGTGACCACTTTTGACGCAATTAATTCTTACATAAGGTAACTTAACATCACGCCTTTTATCCCTGAAGGGGTAGGCAGAGGTGCACATTACGGCACTTACTGCCACTGTTACTACAACTGAGATTTTTTTTTAAGTAATACTTTGTCCGACCTGGGAATCGAACACGAGACTCCTTGCTTGGCAGTCGCACTCAACCAACGAGGCATAATTAAATTTACATTTATATGTTCGTAGTTATCTATGAAAGTGATTAATTAATAAATACCAATAAATGAAATTAAAACAACGATGACAATATAAAGTCTTAGTCTTGAATAATACAAAAGAAATTGACAAAACAACATAGAATATAATATAATATAATAATATAGAATTTAAGAACTTGTCTGTGCACATACATAACACGAATGTGTTTAAAACTATATAGTTATAATATTACAGTGATAGTTATGTCTTACCTTGCCGAGGTAGCAGATAATTCTTGGGAGGGCGTCCCCTCTTCCTCTTGAGTAGCAGTTGTTGTCCGGAGGGAGTGAGGTGAGAGATCGTAGGGCTCGGACCCATCACCGTACCGCTCGTCAGGACGCAGCCCTCCATATCTATGAATATTAAAAAAAAAAACGTTCATTATATTCATCTGTGAGTATGGAAGGAAGTGGTATCTTACAAGTAGTATTATAAATGCGAATGTTTGTGCGATTGTATGTTTATTTGTTACTCAATAACATCAAAATGGCTGAAGGGATTGATAAGAAATTTGGAACAGAGATAGATTGTTGTTTGGAATAACATATAGGCTACTTTTTAACCAACGAGAACGTGGGCAAAAGCAGAAGCTAGTATAAAACATGGTAAAAGGTATATGAAAGTAAAATTAAGGTAATCATGGATTAGCGTTTTTTTTTTTATTATGTACCATCATCATATCAGCTCTACAAAGACCACATCTTGTACATCATCTTGTGACTATGACTTCCAGATCAAGTATAAAGTGAAAATAAGTAGAGTTGAGAAGTATCATCATCATCGTCAACAACCTATAAATGCGTACTGCTGAGCAAAGCCTCTTTTCACACGGAAGTTGAGCATTAATCACCACGCTTGCTCAATGCGGGTTGGCAATGAGAAGTATATTATGAGTACTTGTGTGTGTATACTATTTGTGTGTGTGGTATTAAAACATTATATTACCTAGCGAAGTCTTGGGGGGACGTCCCCTCTTCTTCTTGATCTTAGGCGTTAGTGGTAGCGGGGTCTTGCGCGGCCTGCCCCGTCCCCTGCGCGGCAGCAGCGAGTCCGCGTTGAGTTCGTTCCGCACGGGGTCCAGCGTGGCGTTGAGCACGGTGGGCGCGGCGCGGGGGGGGAGCATCACGTCCCCGCTGGGGGTGAACACGAGGTGCCCCGACTCGCGGTGGGTCGTGCGGACCATGCCCGACATTACTTCAGAGTTGCTCTCTCGCTTGCAAGATCCTGTTTCGTTTGCCATGTCCACCGTTGGGTCCTCCTGGGAATTTGTTGATAGTTGTTTCAATGTGATTTTTTAAATATAAATTTATTTTTATTACGACTATTCTGTAGGTAGAAATGAATGTAAAGTCATAACAGGTTTTAAATAATGTAAGTAACTAATACGGTTTACGACTTACTCTTAATAGGTAAAGTGACGATATCATCCTTAGTTGTAAGAAGCTGAAAATATGGCTCAGTGGCCACCATTTTATTAGATACAACGACGATACGGAATCGGGTTGGTGATCTTATGAAACGGTATAAATAGTGCCTGTTTTAAATGGGACAAGCCTGCTATAACCTCCCAAAACCACTGCAAGTCCTGTAAGCCAGGATCTACAGTAGATACAACCATGAAAACACCGGAAAATTGATGAATAACTGTCTTGGTATATGTAGTGCCTACCTTCTCGCAGATCTTGGTATGCACGCGCAGTTTGTCGGAGCGCGCGAAGCTCCGTCCGCAGCCGCCGCAGGTGAAGGGTCGCTCGCCCGTGTGGGTCAGCTTGTGCCGCGACAGGTGCGACGAGCGCTGGAACCTGCAGCACGCACTCCACTCAAACACTCTCCACGAAACACAGGTTTAAACTGCGATGCGCCCCACGAAAGGACAGGCTGTATCAGGGTGCTTACTCTTGAAACCAATCTCAATGTGAATGCAATTTCAATCCAATAAAATCTCAATAATTATTCAATGTCAAAACTATACAACCCCTACCGTAGTTGTTGAAATAGCATTCAGAGTACGGAATATAAAGCCAAACTCAATACCATTTAGTCATTTAATATCCACACAATACAGATGAAATGGGCGCTAGTGTTGCAAGTCGAGAGTACGAAATTTCACAATACCAATGTCGATGGATCGGAATTGGATTCAAGAATAAGCCCCCTTATCTTCATTTTCTGTTCCCTAAATAAGACCCCCTAAGCCAGTTAATTACATTCTGTGAGTCCCACTTAAGGAGAACAATCAGAGGATTGTTTCGTCTGTCTAATCTTTAATATCAGCCATGAACATCATCAACAGCCTATATAGACTATAAGTGCCCACTGCTGAGCAAAGCCTCTTCTCACACGGAAAACATTTGAGCATTAATCACCACGCATGCTTATTGCGGGTTGGAGATTTCAATCTATTACAAATTATAAGCCCAGGTTTCCTCACGATGTTTCCCTTCACCGTTTGTCAGTGGTGTCTAAATAATCTTAGAAAGGGCAATAACTCGGAAAATGTCACATTGTTGCTTGTCGTTGGATAGGTTTCGAATCTGCACCCTCATATATGAAAAGCAGGCATCTTAACCCTCGAGCCACCCAACCCACGCCATGAAAATGCGGTTCCTTAACCATTTTCTAGAAGGGCTAATGTTTTTGAGCTTACGAAGTGGTGGTAATGTAGCGTGAGATCAATTGTCTACTCCAATATTTATCTAAGTTATTTAAATAATATGTATAGTGTACACGCCTCGTTGGTCGAGTGGTCGCAAATTCGACTGCCGGGCAAGGGGTCTCGTGATCGATTCCGGGTCGGGCTAAGTACATATTACTGGGTTTTAAAAAAAAATCTCAAAGTCCGTGCCCGGAATATGGCAATAGGCTCACCCCCTAGTACATGGGACTCATAACACAAATAGTGAAAAGTGGGTGTTACATTGTATAATGGCATTAAGTGCCGTAACCTCTGCCTAACCCTTCGGTGATAAAAATGCGTGATGTTATGTACATACCTTAAGTCACACACATCACAGACATGAGGCCTGCCTTCCTGCGCGTCGTTGGTGGCGGAGTCCGACACGGAGCCGCTGGAGTCTGTCTCCTCATCATCGTCCAAATGCTTGTTACCACCCTTCTCTGTTCAGACAAGTACAATTGTATATGTTAGTTTAAATTGCAATGTTGGTTTTGTATGAATGATGAGATGGGATACTGTACCGTCTTATTAAGTTGTAGGGGAGCGTTTCGATGATGTGATTTTGGTATCTGGATATACTAAAAATACAGTATACAAGCACTAATGGAATTTGGTTTGTCTGTTAGATTAACTCGTCGAGTACCGTCATTATAGACACAATTATAGAACAATAGGTTGCGGTCACCGGTGACAGCTTGGTGTTTGACAGTTTAAGTATAATGAATTCTGGTATTCTGATAGATTATAGTTTTTTTAAGGGGGGAAAATCATCGAATGACTTCTCCCGTCTGGGTGAGACGGAAGGGAGTGTCACTGACTAAAAACCACCCCGTTCCTACTACTGCGCTTCGAGCCGGAGCCCCGATAACCCGTTAGGTTCTCCGTGACTCGGATGATAGATTATAGTTAGAAATGACTTCAAGTTAACATTAGTAAAAAAATGTAGTTTTGAAAATACTACAGCTACTTTATTGAGAAACAAATTTTTTGCTATGCAAAACGGGGCTAAAGAATGTCCATTAAGCCCTAGCTAGCTCAATTTACAGTTATATTTAAAAAGTTGTTTTCGTAAAATGCTAATGTCTTCTATTTGCAAAATACGACATAGAAAATCAACATACTAAATTACCATATATTTTTGAATAAATAAAAATAATAATGATAAATAGAAATGATATTTAAATAGCAAGAAGGTTACTAACTGGATAAGCCTTTCTAAACAGGAAGTGCGCAAAAGCAATGCTAGATAAGTGTATTAATAATTATGTACTACCAACTAAATTACTTTAACATAAAACAAACAATAATATAATTGGGTACTTGCCTTAATCAAAAATAAATTATTTCTACAATAAAATATAAAAAAATAATTCCACTATCAATAATTGATTTTGTGAATTGAACTTAATTTTTAGTATCTTTCCAGCAATTTTTTAAGAAACTAGTATGCTGTTTGACGTTAAAAAACGTGACGTCACAATACACAATCTCGTACAAAATTCATAGAAAACTGTCGTTTTTCACAGTTCGAAAAAAGTATTTAATTTGACTAGTTGGCAAGTACCCAATTCTTTTATAAACTACGTTAAAAAAAACAGACTTCAAACTCTTTTTTTTTAAAGTCGATTAAACACATTTTTCAAAACCGAATAAAAATCGGTACAGCTAATCGCGAGATATTACCCCAACATACAAACAGGTCAAATTGAGAACCTCCTTTATTTGAAGTCGGTTAAAAAGTGGGTTTAGTCACTTGTGTGAGTGATTGAGCATGCTAAGAGCAAGATACTATGGTAACTACATATTAACTATTGATATATCACTGCTGAATATAGGGCTCGAAGTCAAAGTCAAAATCTTTTATTTCAATTAGACCTGAAAGGTACTTTTGAACATCAACTAAAAAAATTTAAAGTAAAGCTATTTGGTCATTCCAAGGTATTTTTTTTTTTTTTTTTTAAGTGGGGAAAATCATCGAATGACTGCTCCCGCCTGGGTGAGGCGGGAGGGAGTGTCAGACTCTTACTGACTAAAAACCACCCCGTTCCTTCTCCTGCACGTCGAGCCGGAGCCCCGGTTACCCGGTCCATTCCAAGGTATAGATTCCTATGGAGAAGAACGAGCGAGAAGCTCCATAGGTTACTGTTTTTCAATCAGGTTACTATACAAATCTCTGGTTACATAGTTTTGTTGTTTGGATTGTGCGAGAACAATGTAATACTAAAATCCAGTCAAAGCTCCCCCAATAACTTCTAGATCCGCTGATGGATCCATCAGCTTCTAAACAATTTTTATTTATTACAATTCAAGTTTACTTTCTTGATAACATGAATGTATGATGGAGAGCCATGCTTCGCCACGAATAGGCCGGCTCGACCGGAGTGATACCACGGCCCACAGTAAACAAACGTTAAGCGAGGTTACCGGAGACCCGATAACTCCCTCCCCCTTTCCGGGCCGGTAACGCATTTGGAACACCCCTAGTGTTCCAGGTGTCGCGACACCGATTGCTTACCATCAGGTGACCCATCTGCTCGTTAACTGGCTTATTATATGAAAGAAACATGGTAAGGTATTGGACATCCTTAATTGATTTTTGTTTCTCATCAACCGAATTATAAGTCTGAAAAACACATGGTACTTTCTACACTACACGGGCAAAGCTAGTATAATTAAAAAGAGGTGTAATGTTGGATGAAAAGGTGATAAGAAAATAAATAAAAAAAAGTTGCACGATACCTAAAGAGTGCTCACCGTCAGAATCGTCCTGGTCATTGTTGGTGGCGGTGGGTTTCTGCAGTACCGCCAACTGCACCACTTTTATACCACCGCTGTGCTTGTTGTCTTCCTGCTTGTTTGAATCGTTGCTGGTTGCGCCTGGAACCAAGGGAATATTATTGATAAATTATTTATTATTTAAAGTATCTTGAGATATAGGTACTAAGTTAATTACACACTCCGGTCTACTGGTCAAAGGGGCTCCTTGACGAGCAGGATGCGTGACATCACTGCGTCAATTATCGCGCACGCAATTTCATGGTTATGAGTCCCTGTCATCGCTTGAAAGTAGTTGAGCCACCTCGAAGAGTTGAATTACCTATGTAAGCTTATAGGGTCTAATTGATTTTGTGAGTAGTATTTTGGTAGTAACATGTTTATGTTCGAAGATCCTTAGATCTTACATCTATCTCTCTATGAGTGTATCATGATTAGCAAGCAGATCTATGTTTAGTAATTCCGTTTACCTTAAGGTATACCGGTTACAAAAACGATATAATATCATACAGAATCACTAGCAAGGCAATAGTTTTGCGCTTTCATTTATGACGATGACTAACTCTACTCGACCTAGAATAAAATGTAGGACCTCTAAACAATCGCATTTCCAAATAAACCCATCAAAACTAGCATAAAACAAGAACAAAAAGAAAAAACAGCCATATCAATTAACTGACAAAAATAAACGAATCACTTTTACAACTATGATCTACTTCAAGAGCTATAATGTCATAAATTAGGTTTTTTTAACCCAAACCACGTGTACACTAGTTCTCAAACAACCAGTTTTAACCATTATGCATATTTTATCTAACATCTACAACTGAACGCGAATTAATTATGACGTAACGATATGAATGAATCAGGAAAGAATTATTTCTCACTAACGAGTTTTATGAACTTACGGATTGTGTAAAAAAAAGCTATCGGCGCTTGTATTGCTGTTTGCTAACTCTCGCTTTGGGGTCATTTACTGGGCTATGTAATGGCACGTGTTGAAAACAAAAGAACATATTTAGAGCGAAGGGCAGTATTACACACTATATACTTTATCAAAGAATTGAAAGTAGTAATAATAGTCTCTTTATTTATACCTCTTAATATTTTCAAGGCAAGACAATGCAAGAAGAGCACATACGGAGTCTGTGTTGCTAAAACCATAAGATCCTAACGCATGAACAAATTATAGTTTTTAAGTATGGCAATATTAGATTCATGTTACTACCTAATGAAAGTTTTAGTTTCGCGGGACTCCGTCAACCTATTAGAATATTTTAAGATTTGGTTAGGTGACATTTGAGGTAGGTTAGGTAAGTACCCAAGCCAGGAGTCGAAACTAGCACTATTCAGTTGAAGTTGACCGCCAATCAACGAGGCCACACAAGAGTTGTGCCATTATAAAATGATGATTTAATTGCTATTCATCATCAGTTAAAATAAATTGAATGTAATAAGTGGAACAGATGGTGTCTGGTTGTCTAAGCTATAGCCGGCGAGAACCGCAAATAGACAAGATCGAGTAATAGTCATCAAGTATTATAATTGGGATGATGACAGGGTATGAAAATTAAAAAAAAATATAATTAGTCCGTAAGTTAGGTAATGAAATCATATTAGATACGTATTTTTTTATTTAATGTTTTTTTTGTGGCATACACCGGTAAACGAGCAGATGGATCACCTGATGGTAAGCAATCGGCATAGCCCATGAAAACCTGGAACACCAGAGGCGTTACAAGTGCGTTACCGGCCTTTTGGGGATTAGGAGTTTGAGGATCGTTGGGGATTCAGGAATTGGGGAGATCGGGGAAGGGTAGGGTAATTGGGTCTCCGGTAACCTCACTCACACGACGAAACACAACGCAAACGTTGCTTCACGTCGGTTTTCTGTGAGGCCGTGGTATCACTCCGGTCGAGCCGGCCCATTCGTGCCGAAGCATGGCTCTCCCACACTTATTATATTTTGTCGTATGTTAAAACAATATATAGATAAAACGAATCAAAGTTCAGGTGAGGGCTAAAACATCATTTCTACGTATAAAATGTACATAGAAGTGACGTCACGCGACATTTCAAATCAATATATCCTCGAAAGTATTCGTTTCTGTAAGAAAATAAAAAATACGTGTCTAATGATTTTAAAATAAAAATTAGGCATCTACCCTAATATATAACTATACGTTTATTATATCCTGAAGGCTTATTAAGTAGGGACAAGTTTATTTTGAACTTTTGTAGGATATAGTAGGATATAAGGACGTTGAAAAAAGGCGGACATAATGTCACTTAGAAAAGACTGAAGTACCAAAATGTCTATGTGTGCGTGTGTAATGAGTTACCACGTCACCAGACTTGAGAAAATGACACGAAAATGAAAATGATGTCCTTCGTGTCAATGTGTGTGTATTCTGCGTGTAAGTCTATAGTAGCCAGGTGCCACAGTCGTTGTTTCAAGAGACTGTACGCTTTTTTTAACGTCCTTGGGAGGATGTAGGAAGAACCTTCTATCATTGAGCTTTACTGATAGATCGACCATCAGATAATACAAGCTGTTATCCTTTACTAATATAAATGGGAAAGTGAGTTTGTTTGTTTGTTTCGCTTTCACGCGGTAACTTCTAAACCGATTGCTTTGAAATTTTGCAGACGTAAAGTTAAAAGTCCGGATTAAATAATAGGGTACTTTTTATCCTAAAAAATTGATATTCCCAAATGAAAACAAAAGTATTGGTATAGATGGCGCTATGCATATTGGTATATGTCACATAGGCCTCTTTTTATCCTTTTGTGACGCGAGCGAAGCCGCGGGCAAAAGCTAGTTTGTTATATTGTTTTGTCCAACTGAAATAATAATATAAAAATTGAGCCTAAATCCTCACTTAGAAAAGTGGTAAGTTTTCGTCATGGTCATTCAAAATTTCGAAAGGATGACGGGTCAAGAATGCTGAATCATCTTTAATGAGTTATAGAGTCCGATTCAACTACGATGTTATCCCTATATATTATATATATATATATATATAAAGCTTTTTATTTCAGTGTAAAAGTATATTTACAATTCAAAGCATTAGTATTTCTTAATTTAGTTTAGGTAGAGATTAGCTTAGTTTATAATTGTAGTAAGTAGGTCTATTAATATTATTTTTCTCTTGCTGTTTCTTTTACACGAACCCCTTTTGGGTAAAAGCCTCCTCTAATTCCTTCCATTTACCCCTGTTTTCAGAGAGTTTCAACCAGTCTTTATCTGCTACTTCTTTTATATCATCAGCCCATATAGCAAACTATAATAAATTTCAAATCATTTGAACCCTTTGTTGGGTATTTAAATTAGCAACTTACAATATTATTTTGAACAAAAAGAAAATCATATTTTTAAATGTTAAGGTTCACCAGAAACGGTTAAAAGTTTAAAACAATCAATTATGACGTTGAATCCAGAGACAAACTTGAGACTCTTGTAAATGTTGTATCAATTTGAAATTAATGAGACACAAAAGTCTCGTAACCAATAAAACAAATGGACTTTATTTAAATACCTACAATTTAGTTAAGGAAAGATACATGTTATCCTTTTATAAATTTACTTGAACACCTACATGTATCTGTTACGAATGTAAGTTTCAAATCGCCAATCCTTGAGTAGGCGTTGCGTACTAATCAATACTCGTTCCTTCTCTGTAAGGAAGGTATTTTTCCTATTGCGAGACAGTTATTAAGGTGTGTTTTTCCTTTTAATATGAAAACCGTTGAGCAGTGACGTTTAAAATTTTATGTTACAGATGTTGACCCGAGTACGTCTCTGTTTGGGTACAAACCGGCGACTTAAGATTAGTAAGCCGGGGTCATTACCACCGCGACTGCTAAACAAAATATGAATGGAAGGAAATGAGTCCAGATCACACGTTCGCACTTTCAATTAATTAATTGCCAGAGACAGACGCATTTGTTCATGAAAACACTTCGTTAACATTTTTAGAGACTAAAGAAAAGACAGACGTAAAATCTTGAACAATTACTATTTTTTATAACTTGCCAAGATTCTGCTTTTTATGTCATTAAAATCATATAAGTTTAGAACTTCCGCCGACATTTTAAAATGTTAATTTAAAAAATAATGGAACGTGTGTCTTCCCGCGTAAATTGTCCAGCACAGATAATATAAGACACATAATATAATGACGCATATTGTTAGCAGGCTAACTACCTGTTCCTAGTACTATAATCATTTTAATTTAGATTAGAACTCGAGACAGCCGCGGCTGTAGGTCGTCGCCAAAAGGACAAAAACCAGTTTAGTGTTACATTTCAACATGTTTTACGACCAAATATAGCCCTAACAGTTTTTCTGCCGAGACAAGTAGACCGTACAAGTAATTTTCATAGGAAAATTAATCAAACAGAACTTTGTTCAAGTCATCATAATTTCGAAAAGATAAAAACTCCTTTGTGTCTCGGTACGTTCACACGGAGCTAACATTTTTTATTGTCTATTTTATACATACATTCATAGTACATACAGTATATTATAATAATACATTTGCAACATCGGGTTTTACATTGTGAGTCATACTTAAAAAAAAAGTAGTTTATAAGATTTTGTTAAAGGTAGCCGAAAACGTTTTTTTAAATTGTTGTAACGACTATTTTAATTATTCATCTGTCAAATAGAACAAAATAATTTGCATTAATTAATTATTATGAATTACGTTTTGTTTCTGTAGTATAAAAAAAATTACTTAGCGAAAATAGGTACACGAGCGAGGCAGTAAGAACAACGACTGTATATTAATAATAAAGGTATGTAAATGTGAACAATGGCGGAGTTAAAACAAATAAACATATACCACAATGGTTTATAACAGTGTGGGCCAGTGATTGTGCAAAATGTTGTGAAAGGAAATTATACTAAATTATTGTCTTGCGAACGATCTATTGTCGGGTTCTCGCTACAAAATCGATGGTTCTCTTTGATATAAAAACTTTTTTGTTACTTTACTAGGAAATGCCTATTCTTTTGTGATTGAGAACGGAACTGGAGTTCTTGGATTCGAATTCTTATAGGGTAGCGATTTGTTTTAAAAATTCTCGTACAAATTGTATTTATAAATATATTTCTAATTATTGTTTGCCTTTATAACCGGTAATACATAAATTCCTATGCCCGCCACTAGGTACCTATATTTATATGCATACTACTAGATATATTAAGGTATTTAAAGAACAACATTTAATACATTAGCATAACAATGTCTGTTATATTATGCATATTTTATACGTCATTACAATCTTGCAGTAGCATAAACGAGTATGTTACTGGCTGTCCATGGAATTCATTGATACCAATCCATCAACATTTTTTTTATTACAGACTGCATTACAAGATCCGTAATATCCACAGATAATAAAAGCTAGTTCCTTTTACTTTTTTATTCAATTTAAATAGTTGCGTTCTGATTTACTTTTTGTTACCAGTCAGTCACAGCATGAATCTAAGATTATAACTATTCGTATTTATTTATTCACTTTTTTTTCAACTAATTTTTTGACCAAGTATCAATTTTGTAATTAATTATCTGTCATTTATTAAATTCAAGTATCTATACATAGATACTAATAGTTTTAGACCCAAGATAAAAAAAAACTAAATTGTTTACGTGAGTGATAAAATATTTAAAGTAGGTACTATGTAACCTAAACGTTATATTTTTTTTAAATCGAGATTTAATTAGAAATATAAAACTGTCATAAAAATGTGTACTAATGAAGTAGGTACCATAACTTAACCAGTTTTTAAATTAAATGGATCGATATAGAAATATAATAAATAAACCGATAAGAAAACGAGATCAATCAATCGGTAGAGAATTAAAAACAAGATATTTGCATAACAAAGTTGACAAATAAAATCTTATTAAGCGTAATTACGGGACTAAGAACAAAAAAATAAAAGATAATTATTTTACACGTTGACATTTCGAAAAATTAAAAAGTTAGCACATGAATAAAAGAATACCACGTTCATATATTTTTTCTTTAATATTTCTTGAAATGACAAGGTTTTAATTTCGTAAGTTGATATTCCGCATTTTTAAATAAAGAATCCGTGCTTTTACAACTTAAATGTCAACATGGAAAGAAATCGGATGACTAAGGGCAGCAGAATTCCGATTTTACAAAACGTGTTTTTGGTTACAAAAATTAACGTGATTTCAAGATTTTTTCTTTGAGAAGCAAAAACACAGGTAGTGTCTAGCCTATAACAAACGGTCGAAAAAAAAATGTGTAAATAGAACAATTCATGGGCCGGCCAGAAAGACGCCAACCTAACAGGACTTTAAAAAAAATAATCATCAAATTTTTAGTCACACCCAATTCTAAAATCAAAACTCGAAATGTGCGCTCACAAAGCCGTTCAAAATGGCCGCCATGAAAAAAAAGAAGTATAAAATGTTCGATTTTTAAATAAGCAGGTGCATTCATTGTGATGTTTTCATTATGGCCGCTGAACGAATAACAAACAATGTAATATAAATAGTTTAACTTTATAAATCTTATTGTTATTCGACGGAAATAATTATTAGCGATTCGATCTAAAACATCGTTGTGTAAGGGCTATGCAGATTGCAACAGCGCATTCCTTTTAGATACAAACAATTTATACTAGCAGCAATTGTTTCAATTTTCAAAAAGTATTTTTGAAAAACAGCGCCCATGCTTAAGTCGTATTTACATACGAAGGGTTCCTTTGAGTGAACAAGATGCGATGGCATTTTTAGGGATTTTTTGAGGTTATTTTAGCAGCTTATATTTTTACTTAAAGCTGGTTAATGATATTAGAAGTTTGATTGATATATTATGTAAGACAGATAGACATCAAAATATATTTTTTTCTTTATTGTAAACTGGTTTAAAAATTTTGGTATTTCCTTTGTGCAAAAAAAACCTAAATAGACTAGTCTGATAACTTTTAATGAACGGAAACAGCATAAATCATAATTTGGGTCAGAATCTCAATTCATTTTTTATAACAAAAAGACTTAATTATAACGTTCTACATTTCAAATTGAGCTAATATTAATATTATAATACAAAGTTCATAAATTAATAGCAATTTATTTAAAAATATGACATCATTATACCTCAGACATACCTAAACTGTCTGATAAAATTCATTTATATTGTTTTAATAAATGCTTTTTTTTAAATTTTATTTAAAATTTTCCATTACAAATTTACAACACAACCAAAATGGTAAAATTGCAATAAAAACAAATCAAATACTGATACGAAAAATACAAGTTTGGATTTTTAATAACTTTTAAAAACACTCATGAATATTTATGACCATAAGCTGCAAGAACGATTTCAAAATAAATTCGAATATAATACATATTTTATTATTTGTTATAATTTAGGGTTCCACTCTGTAAGCGGATATCATAATATGATAATTAAATCAAAACGAGGATTTATTAAAAAAAATGTAAGTATCACAAATGATTTGCCAGTTTGAATGATTTAATGACATTATAAATTTTAATATCAATAGCATCTTAATCTACCTTTCGCTTTTAATTTTATTATCTTTTTTATAATGAAACAAATGTCATAAAATTAATGTAATATGTCCATCAGCCTGTCTTACTAGTTCTGTTCATTTCAACAATAGTCAGTGAACATCACCGCAAGCCCTCAGGGCACACAAAAAGGTTTTATAGTTCTTTACTTTTTAAAATCATTTCTCAAACCAATAATTTTAATAAAATAATAAAACCTTATTCCTCTACACTAATTTTAGTCATAATAAAATTTAGAGATAAAAAATAAACTTTTTTACGAATCCTGCATTCTTGTTAAAAACACAAAAAATAATGAACCCATATACCGAGAAGCTCGTTTTGGCTTTTTATTTTTTAAGTGAAGGGAAATATAAATCACGATTTTTTATTACAACGCCGGCCTGAGTTCAGACGCTTGGTCGTGACATTCAAAATTAATTTTAAAATATAAAAAAAAAACAAATTATTAATAATACCTACAACATTAACGTTAAACACAAAGTCAGCTCTTCATATTCAAAATATTGAAAATATATTTTGTTAGAGTCACGTTATGCTTTGTTAATTCCGGCACGTGTAAATTGAGAAAAAAATATTTTAATTTTAATTTGATATATACGCACTTTTTTGTGTAGCAGCCTTACCTAAATTCGAGTTTAATGGCAAAGTCGAAGGCCGGGCATAACATTTTTATGATTAGGCTGGTACTTAAACAGAATTATAACAACATAGGAATATGAAAAGCGAAATAAAAACATGGACGTATCTGTGTAACACGTGACGAATAGGATCCGGTGTTTTGAGAAGCGGGCGTACTGACTAGAGCGCGTGCGCGAACACCATTATTTAAAATAATATCGATCTAATTTCTTAATAAGATTTCCTTTTCACGGACATTTTTATCTCAATACAATTTTCTGAGAACACGACAAAATAAACTCGAATATTTTCCTGTTCTCTCTTTGTACTGAGTTTTAATGCTTAGGTAAAAGATGGATGTAATTAGTGCCTATCTAATTTGAAGGTACGATACCTACAAAGAATAACATAGTATAATATAATGAAGCCACTAGACAATTTTCCTTAACACCTTTAAAAACTAGTTTTAAATAACTTACCGGGTGATGTGATTTTAGGGCGTTCGTCAGTCTTATTATCATCTTGGAAGCGTACAGTCATCGGCTTCTTCTTAGCGCGGAGACTGTCATCTGGTGATAGAATGGAAGTCCGCTTCTTGGGACGTTCCTCTTCTATATCACGTTTGACATCTGTCGTTGTGGATGATGCTGCCACTGTTAGGAAAATTTTATGTTTTAGGCTTCTGTATGTATGTCCGATGGGATAAAGGATGTTTTGTTATCGGTAAGGGTGAATGAACCAGAATCAAAACGATAATGACGAAAAACTATAATGTTAATAGGATAAATGATCAGGTATTAGGTACCGAATGGGTATAATTTCTCCATTATTCGTAAAAATAAAATGGATGATGATGATACATGGCTCAAACATGTTCTGCATTTTAGACCTTTATTGACACTGTCTGTGAAATTAGTAATCCGTTCTAGTTCCGGGTGAAAGCATACGTATAATAGAATAGTTGTCATGTAGAGGGCCCCTTTTAGTATCTACCGAGTTTAAAAAAAAGGATTTTTTTTAATCTTAATATTTTTAAACAACAAAAAGGCCTGTCGCATAACCAACCTTCCCAACACAAAAAAAAATTGTTCACATTGAATAAAAAAGAAAAAAATACAAAAAGCACAGAGTAACAACAAAATGGTAAGACATCGATATGTAACTTACCCTGGTCGTGTTCTGTCTGTATACTGGCGACAACTCTCTCCCCGGCCCGGTTGGCGTGCATCGCCTCCTCCATCTCCCTAGCTGCCGCAGCGAGGATATTGTTCACAGCCGTGTGGGTGGTCTGAGGGTCCTCCCTCCGACGTCGCCTGATCTCCTCAGCTCGCATCATGGATTGCTGGTACATGTGTATCTAGGAATTATTGGTGATGTCAGGCAATGTTTGGATGAAGGTTATTCAAGCGTAGGACAGGATAGAAGCGTTATTCAGGAGCGCTGGTGGAAGGTTCTTTAGGAGCTGTTGATCCCATTTGCTACCCATGATTTGTGAGTGAATGATTTATTTGTGATTCCAGTGTGAGTATTGATAATAAACCTTGGTATAGGCAATATTTTTAGTTTATTTAAAAATAGCAGATTGTGTATGAAAAAGCATTAAGTACGCTTTTTTTGAGAGTCGTCTAAAAATATGTACAACCGAAATAAAAATAGTTTATTTATATTCAAGACTTTGCCTCATAATTTAACTAGCAAATCATCAATACCTGGTAGTAATATATTTACAGTTTTTTTTTTCATGACTAGTTCACAAATCAAGAAATATAATTCGAAACGTTTCATTATTTAAAATTCAAATACATAAATGTAAGAGGGAAATGCTTTTTACTACATTTTCCAATGTAACGAACATAATTATGTGACTCCTACATTGTTCTAGGAATAATGAAAATACACAATGCCCTTATCTTGCCCGCATGCCATAAAAAGTAGTCGGGAGAAAAAAGGTTAGTGCCCCCAGACCGAAGGCGGGAAGATTCGTACGAAGGCAACAATGTTGTACGGCCTAGGATCGTCTGGTCACGCTACAGGATTTTAAATAATGGCAACATTTGTATAAAACTGGCCTGTCTATAAATATACCATTGCTTTTATTCGATATTGATGTGTAGCCAATATTGTTTTGACTAAATTGAGTTCTGTTTTTCATTTAATTTTAAATAGAGAATGTGTTTTAGTTATAAAAGGGAATGTCTAAAAATTACGTGTTTTCAAAACGCCTGATATATTATCTAATTTTTTTGTTCACCCACGTGGTTTCCTATCCTACTGCAAACATAGGCGATCTTACTGGCCGATAAGATTTCCCCCTTTTTTAAGAGAGAGTAAGAAAGGAGGCCTGGTATACATATAACTATGAAACAGTAATAAATTAATTTCGAATTATTACAGTTTAATTTATGCGTAGTTCAATTGTTTCACATTATGAAGGAAAGTGTGTTTTAATAACATTTATACAGAGCTCAAAGTTTTCTCCTTGTATCAACAAAATTATCGATCAGGCTTTGGAAACGTGATTTTTGACGTAATTTACGATTGTTTGTTAAAAAATAAAACAAAAACTTCAGCAATAATAGCAAAATATGATAATATGAAAATTCCATGACATTCTAGATACAAAGATACGAGTTTTAAAATAGACTTTATCTCGGAATTATTAAAAAATAAATAGGTACTCGTATACTTCCATAGCCAAAGTTATCTAAAAAACAATATTTATCTCGAATTTTTAATATTGTTTAATATTATTATATTGTGATAATATAATGATTAAAATAAATAGCGTAGGTACAATTATTTCGCTAACAAATTTTCATGACGTCAGTATAATTTCGCTCAGTCACGTAAAAGTACGAAATTATAATTAATATATTAACTAGCAATCTCATTAACGTATCTTTGTCCGTATACATATAATTAAAATGTATCTATTTTATAAATAACTAAATAAAATAAACATAATTTTTACATTATTTAAAATAACTACAATACTAAATTAAGTCCTTTAATTAATATACTAAATAACAAAGTAAATATATTTCACGCTTAACATTTTCTAAAACCAGCCAATTTAATTTAACCTTGGAAATACCAAGAAAACATTAGTAGTTGCCTAACTACATTACAATTAATATTTTTAAATTACTAACCAAGAAAAATTACTTTTATTTAATCAAATGTTAGTGGAACTTCTAATAATAATTATATTTTTAATTAAAAATGGAGAAATACAACAACTGTTAGTCACCAACAATGGCGGCGCGGCCAAATAGTAACGATTATGACTAAGATTTCTCTTTATTTTTATTACAAATGCATGTTAATTTTTTAATTTAATTTGTGTTTTACACGTGTAAGTAACGGGTTCATAACTGGTTTTTTGCTTCCACAAAAAACACAAATGGTCATAATTCTTTAAGGTATTTAATTTCCATGGTAATCGAGAGAAATATCGATTTTTGTTAATCTTCTTAAATCATTGTGAAGAGGAAGAATAAGGCTGTATATCCTGTTTCCGTTTCCTGGTTTTTTAATCTGTATTTTTTTCTTCTGTACATTTTTTATTTAGAGCTTAGTTTATAATTTATATCCGTTTTATTCCATTCGAAGCGTACTAAAATACGATTTTTTATAAGTAAAAAATACTCATTAGAACATTTCCAATTAAATATTAATTTCGTAATAAAAAAAACCCGGATTTAACATGTTCGTTTTTGCTATACCTAACGACGTCAACAGCGAACAAATATACAAAAAAGTATTGCGCAAACAAAAGATATTACCTATAATATACCTTTACAAAACTATATTTATACATATTCTGTTTTCAATTCAAAATTTAAATAAGTATCGACAGTAGTGGAATAATGTTCAAGGCTACTTTTTTTTAAGTAAAATAAGAATCTTCAAATCAAAATGGGCAAAGGAAATACCCGCGTAGCCACTTAAACAAATATAAAAAAGGAGGTTGAATAAGGTACCATGAGTCAGTAGTTAACTCTAAATTACGTCATAATATTTATTTAATGATAAATTATCTGATTACTGATAATACTTAGTACAAGTACTTCATGAATTTGTTATTAAAAGTAACTGTCAACTAGTCAAATGCAAATTTTAAAAATTTTTAGTATTTCTTTTATGGATTAATGAAATCGTATTTTGCAGCAATTACTGTGATTCATGAACCATTAATATGGAAGAAAAGTGTAATAAAATATCGGGGATAATAAAATGCTTGTAGAGTTTGCATCAAGTAAGTTACTTATTTGATGCAAACTCTACAAGCATTTTCCTAAATAACCATAAAAAATAAGAAATGTGGTAAATTAATATTCCTGTAAAAAATAGTTTTTGGAGCCGGTTTTTAGAGTAGACACTTCTTGACCAGCAAGTGATTTTTCCTATATTAGTAATTTAGACTTGCAACAAACAATGAATAATGAATTATTTGTATGAATCATAAATAATATTGATTGTAATCTACGAAAATATTCCATATTTTAATAACAACCTTTATCTAAAAGCCGTTAACTAACATAACTGTAAAAAGTATGGAAAAATATTTTTATTTTTGACCAATTAGCACTTAAAAGAATTAACAACATCATGAGAAAATAGCCAATTTAAAAACTTGCAGCTACTTTTATACAGCTTGAGTTTTTAAGTTATTTTTAGAGTAATCTTAGCTTGTAGACATTTTTTAAAAACAATTTATATGGTAAAAAATGGAAGTGAAATGTTATGTATGTAAATAGTATCTTTGACTACATCTACATTTGATAACGTCTAGATACTGGCCAAGATATGCAAATACTTCATTTAATAATACTATGACCGGATACAATGCTAAGCCGCCAGATCTAGGTTCATATTATTATAGTTTTATGCATATTCTCACCTAAACCACCTGTTATCTAATTGTTAATTTGATAACAAGCCATAAAATTCACAGTATTAGGTTTTCTTTCAAATTTAATTACCACAATTTGAATAGGAATTGCATAAATGAATAATCTCATTTGTAATGAAACCATTCATCTTTTTTTAGTCATTCTATCCTAGATTCTAGGCTAATATAGTTGCCAGCACCAATGTTTATCATCAAATGTAACAGTTATAGTGACCCAAACACCACACAGGAACATCAACCTTCAGCACAGATGGATAAATATGAATGAAAACTCACCTGTTTCAACCTCTCCACATCAGTCCTGGCTTGTGAGTATGCAGGCTGTGCAGACACGGAAGTGGCAGGATATGACGGGTACTCCAAGTTGACATTCAACATCTGTGCAGCATTGTCTCTAGCCTCATACGCCAGCCCCCGGATCTCTAGCTCTGATGCTGTGTGCATTAGAGACTGCAGGTCCAGTTCTTGGACATCCACCGATCCCTTGTACATGAACTCCACAAGGAGGTTGATCTCCGAGAAGGGTATCCCCTTCAGAATTACTATTGGATGTTGACATGGGTTGTCCCTAACAGAAAATAAACACTTTTATCTCATGTATACTGTAATTTAAATTGTATTAAACACTATCTCATTATTTATTAACCAGACATATTTTTTCTTCTGTTATCACAAGATAATAAAAGCAATTATTATAAATATTTGACTCCTATGACATTTATGTAACATTTCTTAAGTACATGTAATTAAATTGAATAGAATTATATTTAAAAATTGTTCATTATAAGTCTGGCAGAATGCAAAATATACTTTGCTCATGTCTGTATACATTACAGGGTATTATAAATAACTTCACTAGAAAAAATAATGATGTCATAATGACCAAATGGAACAGATTTAAAAGTGATGTGAACAAGATACACAATTTAGTAAATGGAAACCTAGGTGTAATGTGTAGCAGGATGTAAAACGAGAGTACTCACTTGAATATCTGTTCGAAGTAGGGACTGCATGCTGAGAGCACGAGCTTGTGCGCCTTGAGGGTGCCGTCGCGGCAGGAGAGCGTCACGTCCGCGAGCGCCGACGACGAGTAGATGGTCGTGAACAGCTGGCTCAAGTTCTGCAGGTGGTTGTTCCACTTCAAGTGGAACGTCTTATCGCTCACCAGCCCCTGCATCTGCACCACCACATACACTTTTAAATCACAATTCACACTTGTTCACCGCTGATGGATAATCGACAGAAACCGAGTCTGCTGCGACCGCTACATAAAATTATAATTATTACAACTTATTTTTAGAACGATGCCCGTAAAAAACACTATACGTACGCGGTATGACAGTGTAATATACCGTAGGTACGCGCCGCTGACGGAATTTAGAGCTATAAAATTTTATTTATATTTTATTCGGCAAAACTGAATTTCGTCAAAAATCATGCCGGTGATATTTTCTTACCTCGCAAAACGCTTTACCGACTTCTCGATTTTTCACAAATAACACCGAAACATTTCACAAAATTAATACAATAATTATGTTACACAGAAAGCCGTGTCGTAAAAAACAGAGTGGGGCACGCCGTGGCCCCCTCCTTGCCCCGGCCCCCTCGCACACAATCAATATACGGAATATGAGAGCGCGGCGCGCCCCCTCGCCCCCCGCATGCTTTATTATACCGTAATTAATATACAACTTTATAAATTGTATTATAGCGGAGCGGTATATCTTCACTGTACGAATGTGTATAATTTTATAGATACTCTCTAATATTCATTGCAGAGGTGTGTATACACAGATAAACTCTAAAATAACATTACATGAATATATCGGAAATACACAAGCACGTACCGTGGTGTTTTATTGACATAAACATTGAAGCAGAAATGTACTGCTTGACTTATTACTTGGTTTCTGGCTTTATTTCAAAAAAAGATATTCTAAAATAGGTAGTTTGTTTTAAGTTTTTAAATTTCAACCCAATATAGTGCCCCTTCCTTCCTCAAAATAAATAAATTAGATGGAGTAGGTAAGTACGTAGGTAGTACATTGTTAGGTGTGCTGTGAATGTGTGCGTGAAGTACTTCAATCTCTTTCACATCGGCACACCGGTGAACCTACACATTCACACAACCACTACATGCGCAAACGAGAGAATAGAGGCTGACGGATTCGGATAGTTTTGTTTTTATTAGATTCCATCCTTCCGTCTATACGGTAGAATGAGTAATGTATTTATCATTATGTATGTTATGATGAATGTAATAAAATGAGACGAACAGCGCACATTTTGTTGCAATGATATTAAAAAATAAAATATAAATGTAGTCTAAGTATTCAATATCATATTACGGTTGCTGTACCTTTCGTACTTACTGTGTATAATATAGGTAGTCCAAGTAGGTAGCGAGCGTGGGTGAGGTTTAATAAATTAATAATGAAGGAAAGTACACATGTATACAATGTAGATGTGTTACTTTGTGCTGGGAATTATTTAAAAGCCAAGTAAGGTACATTTTAATATAGAAAAAGACAAAAATCAAAATTCCTTCATGTGAGCTAGAACATTTCAAAAAATTAAGATATGTGTGTAATTAAATTTTAGTTCAGTCTTATTTTTAAATAGTAACATATTATTGCGTTTAGTCATTTCTGTATTTTATATAATAAGCACACAAAAGGGGTATTAATTTTTATTCGTACTTACTCTGAAACTCAACTAGAGCAATAACACTTGAAAATTGTCTTGAAGTTAGAGTTTAGAAATAAAACTATACAATTAATTAAATAAACATGTGAATATCAAAACATGCATCATTTTATAATAACTTTAATAAAAAATAATTATTTGAATTCCATCTGTAAATTAAAACTTCAGTTCTTATTAGTGTGCTATACGAGAATATCATCCGAAATTGACGATTACGTCATAGAAAGACTGGAAAATTTTTATTTTATTGTTTATTAAATATTAAATTTATATCATTTAGTGTTTTTTAATTATTATATTCATATTTTAAAATAAATATATTTTAATATCTTTAAATTAACAAAGTAATAAACCGAACGCTCAAGTCCAGTTAATCGGGTCCACTCGTAGACCACCTCTAGTAAATTTTCTATGGTCAAGCAAAAAGCAAACGTCAATGTCAGTTTATCAGCTGACACTGACACTTAACATTATGTCATTTTTCGCAATAAAGATCGTATGTTGCCGGAACGGAATAGCTCATAGCTTCATATCGAAGTTGATATTTGTTGGTGTCGGTGACTTTACATTTAATTAATATTAAAAATTAAAACTGACGCCACGTATTAACATAAATCAATAAAATATAACAGACAACCTCTTATTACTCTCTTATAATCTAACGCACTATAGTCAGAATTTTAATTAGATTCCAGATTTGACAATGGCTACTGTTATTTTGTGAAATAATGATACCACATATAATAGTGTAGTGATGAACACAAAAATCGTTAAACAATCAGTGTGTGTATTTTTTTATAATAAATGTTACAGAAAGTGACAGGATATCGATAGCGATGACGGCGACAATTTATAAAATAACTTATTACCATAATACATCTATTTGTTTTATTTGTCATGTTCCTTCATGATTACATTTTTTCATTTATTTCACACAGTTATAAAAGAAAAGTCTCAGATCGTTGATTAATCGTCAAAACTAAATTATCGGTTCAGAAATATTTAATTTCCTGATATATTTAGTTTACGAGAGTAAAATTATAAACGAGCAAAATCGATCCAGAAATATTGCATTTCCATATCGAATAATTTCGCAACGTCACTATTTAGTACTTGTCATAACGTTGCAACACTGAAATTGTCAAATCTGGAATCGAATTAAAATTCCGAGTATAAGTGAAATAGATTTTCCTATCTGAAAATGGAAAAAACACCGACTTTAGTTGTTTCCAGCCCCAATATTAAATATACTGATGAGTATATTTATTCGGACTACGAATATGAGGAAACTCTGGTCACCAGAAACGGGGAGGAGATTACGGTAAGCATATTTTGTTGATATTTTAAGGGTATTTTTCCCGGCATTTGCTGTCCTTGTGGTATCGATTTGTTATGCATGTTCCAGAAGGAACAGGTTGCTACAATGTGTACATACACCCGCTGTGAGCCAAAACTATGCTCCACATCCTGTAAATTCATTTAATAAGAATCTAATTCATCATTTTTATTTTCATAATGTGGATAGAAATTGGAATCATAGATAAGTTTATTATCGTATGATTCTTGTTTAGAAACATCCCAGTTATTGTTTAAAAGTATGTTTTAGATGATAATAGGCAATTAATAAACTTTTTACTATAAATATATTTGGATGCTTATGGAATCCTCTGTTATAATTATTCATACTGAGCCATTGACATGAAATTGTAATTAGTCTCTCAATAACTAATTGATTGCACTGTTGGTGCGGTGGCTAGTGGCCGCTCAGGGTGTAGTTTGATTCCATCACGAATTTACTCTTTGTGTGATCCACAAATTGTTATTTTGGGTCTGACTGTCATGTGTATGTGAATCATATCATGCCCTTTTAGCAACTGTAACATAGATAATTTTTGACTATTGCGAAGGCTTGGTGTTAACGAAGCCTTTGTTAGTCTCTATCTATGATTTGTTTTAATTTATGCCACTATTTTTTTTAATATATACAACATATTAAACTGTCAAATACCAAGCGGTCACCGGTGACCGCAACCTATTGTTCTATAATTGTGTCTGCAAAACCGGTACTTGACGAGTTAAACTGTCAAACACCAAGCGGTCACCAGTGACCGCAACCTATTGTTCTATAATTATGTCTATAATGACGGTACTCGACGAGTTAATTTATTGAGTATTAAAAATACCTATATCAAGTTTGTAAATGATTTCTTCCCTAAATCTAAATGATTACTCCTTTTAATAAATTCGTTAACAAGTCTCCTTGATAATGAATTTTTGTATGATTTCACATCAGCTTATCTTATCACTGACACACATATAGTCATCAGGACAATAAACTCAAAATTATCTTAATCTTAGTTGAATCGTTACAAAATTTGTCTGGTGTATTGCAAGCTCATATTACATAGGACTTGTAACATAACAGTAACTTGACTGCAGGGTTGGTGCAGTGGCGCAACACGTTGTGGGTTTTGTTTTTATAATAACTTTCATGAAATATC